ATTTGTTCCACCTTCATTTCCCAATCTAGGTACCCCTCAACATCATCCTTTCCATGAAAATAAGGGAGATCTACCCTAGATTCCCTTGGCTTGGGGGTCCTATGCACCCTTCTAGGAGGTGGTTGATAATGATCTCCTAAAGCAAGGCTATCATCATTCAGTGACTCTCCTAGGGTTGAACTATGTTGGGAGCTATGTCTACTTCGGTGCTTGTGGTGAAATTTCTCTTCTTTCTCCTTTAATAAATGAATCTCTTCCTCTAAGATAGCAAGTTGAGCCTCTCTTTCAAGTTTTTCTTTAAGTTTTTGCTTGGCTTCTTGCTTCTTCCAAAGCTTAAGTGATCTTAATTCATGTGTTACTTTTGACAAGTCATTGTAATCACTTGAATTACTATCACTTTGAGGAGTAGAAAACTCTTCCATTATAGGAGAAAGTGGCTTTTTGAAAAATGATCTTTGAAAATCAATTGTTTTTATGCAAGGTTAAGACTAAGTACTTAGAGGATTATGTATACAAATTGAACTTTGGAGGGAGGTGAGCTACTAAGAGCCACTTAAAAACCAAGCCTCTTCAAGTAAAAATTACTAATCCCCTTTGTAGTTAATCTCTACCAAATTCTTTTCAATGAAAATTATTTTTGATGTTTTTGTGAACTATGACAAACTAGACGTATGAAAGCAAATAAAACAAGTATTAAGCAACAAATTAAACTACCTAAACGTGTCCTAGGGTGAGAGCTTGAGAGATACCAAAGATCAATCAAGGATCACTCCCACCAAAGTACTAACGAGAATTGTAAACTTAAGGAGAGATGGTTGTGTACCAAAGACACTTCCAAGACACTCCTTGAAATGGCCAATTACAAGGTAATTACGAAGCTAAACAATAATGAAACAAGTGGCTTTAACGAGAAATTAAAAACAGCCACCAAAAATTAGTGAGGGATTAGTGACCAAATTTTGCAACAAAATTCAAATTAGTAAGGAAAATGTGGTCTCTAAATCCGTCACTAATACTCTGTTTTTTTTTTATTATTAAATTCAAATACAAAATCAATTTGAAACTCCAAAGATCTCCACGGATGAACAAGTCCAGCAGCCACCAAAATTTCCAGCCACAAGTGTTTAGTGTTTAGTGTTTGTTCTTTGATTTTGATAGCCAAATCCGAGAGTCTCCTTTGTCCTTTCCTCCTCCTTTTCTTAGTCCTCTTTTGATGACCCTTGTAGAGCTAGCTTCTAAGGAGATAGGATAGGTCAAGCATAGGTCACATTTGAGTTCCATAATGAATACAAACAGCAAAGGTATTTAAGAGGTAAAGAAAAACAAGATTAGAGTAGGAGAAGACAATATGGATGACAATAGACAAAATTAGGCTAGGTCAAGAAAGAACAATCCTAAGAAAAGGTTCTAGAATTGATTCACAAAACCAAAACACTCAAGAAGAATGTGAGCTGAAAATATTATGTAACTATGATCAATCAAACCGAGAAGAAGAACTTGTAAACCAAAACTCCTTTTATGGCTTTTTCTTTTAGAACTTAGATTTATCATTTTTTTTTTAATTCAGTTTTGGTTTTGAATTTTCTTTTGATTTTTTTTTTTAAAACCTAGGAGTTGCCTTTTTTCTTTTATGTCAAAATGCACTTACTAGTCTCGGTCACACTTAAGGAGAACACCAAACCCGGATTCAATTTGGATTTCAAATGACATGCAAATTAGGTTTAGATGTAATGGAAATGTCACATGCTTTTGATGCTTGTTTGTTTTGTTTTAGCACATGCACGGTCTTGGCTCCAAAATTTAAAATTCAAATTGCAACTCAAACACAAATTTCAGCACACTCACCTTATACCAAAATCAAACCTCACGGATTAGAAAAAGATTTCAAGACATTTTCAAAAATTTGGAAACCTAAAATTCTAAGAAAACTACTAATGATCTAGTAGTAGCTTATGAACTCAAAATGAAACAAAAATTATGAGCATATACCAAAGCTATGGATCTCGGCCAAATCCAGAAAATATTGTCAAGATGCAATTCAAAATTCAAAACGGACCACATAAGCATAGCTTGGAAAGTTGAACATAACAAGAACTACACATGACTACTAAACATTGATTCAAAATCATGCAATGACCGAATAAGATTTCAATGAAGACTCAATTAAAACAAAAAGGTTCATAGGCAGAAAATTCCTAATTAAGCACAAGAAAAGAGCATGATTCATGGAAGCATATAACATAGGCGCATATATGAATCATTCAAGCAACAAGAACTAGATCCATCAAATTTTGAGACAAAATTAGATCTAGGAAATATGAAACTCTCGGTGACAAAAGCTAAAAAAAAATGAGGATCACAAGATGAACACAAGAACAAATTGAACCACGGATCAAAATTCAAGAAGATGAACTTATCTCTTGAAGACCGAAGCTCTGATACCACTTGATGAAGTTCCACCTAGTGAATCTTCATGAACACCTTCAAATTCTC